TTGATATACACTAATCTATCATTTCTTAGACCAAAAGAAAGGTATAATTCTATTTCCCTTGAAGTGCATCGATGCACTACCCATGCATCGATACACAAATCACCTTTGATGTTTTCATTTTAAGGGGATGCATCGATGCACTCCTTATGCATCGATGCACTCCTTATGCATCGATGCACTAATTACATTCGATATTTCCATTTTTAATGGGTGCATGTATGCACTTCTTGTGCATCGATACACACTGAACAATTTCTGGAAATTTACCCTTGATGCATCGGTGCACATTGAATGTGCATCGATGCACATAGCCCATAATTCATTTTTAAGCCAGAAAATCTACTCAAATCAACTCAAATGCTTCATCTTTCGTCCCCTTTCATGTTCTCAACTCATATACACATGCTTAAACCAATTTATATCCATATAAAACATCTTTAACTTCAAAATTCTATTCCTCATATGTAACTCAAGAATTAAACCAACTTTGCAATATGTTTTAATTCCAATTCTATGGCTTCTAATTTCTTAATTAGACCCTTGACAAGTCAAATTTAAATTCCAACTCTAATTATGAACTCTATTTTAAGATTTCACCCAAGAACCTCAAATCTTTAATCCCTCATAACTCCATCATACTTTGATTTTAAGATAACTTAAGCTTTCTTTAAGCATAGTTATCATCTAATAATCAAACCCAACCTTAAAACCAATAATTAATCCATAAACAAAGAAACTCACCTTTGAACTTGGAGATACGGGAGGATGAAGAAGAAGAAAGAAAAATCTGGATAATTCTCTCATTTTCCACGTGGTTCCTTTTCTTATAAAAGGAATATAAAAATCTTACTTGTCAATTTACCATTTTACCCTTTAATTCATTCAATAATTATTAAATAACCTTCATCATATTTCTAATAAATCATTGAACTATTCAATTATCCTACTTTAATCACCAATTTTTGAATCTTTACAATTTGGTCACTAACCCGGTATTAAGGATGTTACCAATCTCCCCTCCTTTAAAGAAAATTCATCCTCGAATTTTCACTGAACAAATCAATAAGAACATATCTTCTATTGCTCTCATATTACCTCCTTTCTTAATCTTTCCTTCCTTTATTTCTTCAACTACCTTCTACTATCACTGATCATATAAACAGTAACTAGTAACTTTAATCCCTTTCTATCTTTTCTCTCCTTCCATTATGCATTTTCCTTTGACCATTTCTGTGACTTCATATAATATCACTAATCATGTAGACATTAACATCCATTTTCATCACTTAACCTCATAAATCCCCCTTTAATTGTCTTATAACAATAATCAACTCGTTTTCCAAAATCATTTGACCGAGAACACAACATTAGATCTTCTTTAAATATAATTAACTCACACTTTTAAAGAATCTTTTCACATCACCTTGCACCCTTTTCTTACTTCTATATTAAAATTGTCATCTACACTTCCATATAACCTTTATCGTATCTGATCCTTTAACACATCCCTTTCATTTCTTTATTCCATTATTCCTTTATTTATTCCTTATACCCAAATCGTATATTTCCTTTCATGTTCACATACTCTTGTCTTATCACCTATACTCATCTCTATGTACCAATCTTCATTGCATCCTCATAACTTTGATAACCCGTTTACTTATACGAAACTTCATTCTTTATCATTTCTTATACTTGTATTTTTCTTCCTTAAGGTTCCATACAAATATTTATCTTCTTTTCTACATCATAGCTATCTGATCAGAATACACAACTATATTCAGTTTCACATCATAATTGATTAACTCAACTCTATATTTTCCTCCAATTTTATAACTCTATCACCTTTACTCTGACAGCTAGTCAATAACATCTGTCCAATCTAGGGCACAAGCCCTAGCCAACCAATCATATACATTCTTTCCAATCGAAATTATCTCAAAATTAGTTTATTTAACTTATCAATTTCACCTCTATTCTCATACATCTTGTAATTTCCGTTGCTCAAACTCAACATTCTGACTTCTTTTGTCTTATAATCTGATCATCGATATACTCATTTTTAAACTCTTCTTATCAATCTTCAACTTTACTCAAATATGCAAATCCTTACTTCCTTTTCCTTTACTATACCACCTTACTATGATCCAAATATACAACTGTATCTAGATCCATTTCATATTTGGTTATCATATCCTGACAATATCTTATAATCTTATAATTCGAGTACATTTTATCACGTACTCTGGTTAGCCAACGCTAACTCTTTCCGTCTTAACTGCAAACCCTTATCATATAAACACTCTTGCTTATACACAATATTATCCCTTCATTTCGAACTCATAAGCTTTGACTTTATACATTTTATACGCTTGTCACTGATACACTTATTCTTAAACTCTTATACCAATTCTCACTGCATCATTTGATCTTTTAATGCTCTTATGGTGACACTTGTTCACCTTATTTTATCTTATCCACGAAATAATAAAACTACTCCCTATCACTTTTCCGATTCAAAACAGTGAAAACCTGCTATCACTATTCTAATATGATTTCAACTTTCTGAAATCAATCTTTGATCTTACGAGGCATTTCCTGATGTGTCCGCTCTTCATCCTGTCTGGCCAAGGTAGGTGAATTGTTATTACAATCGGATTTACCTCTCACTTTATTTCGAAACTATTGCAATCAGATTTCTACAATATCATACTATTCTTATTCTATTAGCAAGATAATATATTCCTTACACTTATCAGATCAGAAATTATTGACTTTGTGTTGGCATGTATGCATTTTAAATCTTATTTAACTTCGGTTTAAGCCTAGAATCGGCTAAACCTTAGCTCTGGTACCATTAAATGTAACACCCCTAACCCGTATCCGACCTGGATCCGAGTCTGAAGTGTCAAATTGACTTTTCAAAACCTTTACTTATATAAAATAATGAGTAATTTAAAATTTATTATTACATATAACTTCTTCAAAACCTTTACCGAACTTTTCAGAGCTTATACAATATATTATTTTGAATACATGCCAACTAGAACTTTATATATTAAAATACATATTATTCACCTTTCCTCTGATCTGACCTTTGGTAAGGAGAACTGACATGTCTTGCTCCACATTGCTCTTTACTCTTCTCACTTCGGTAACCTACGTGTGAAAGAATCACACGCTAAGTCTATGACTTAGTGAGGTAATAAACATAAAATATAGACTATATCTTGTAATCATGCATGAACAATTACTACTATCACTCATACCCTTATGCATGTAACAAATCCCTATCACACATATGCAATATATCATTACATATAAGAACATATACACACATATATTCATCACTCATCATTTCCATCATTAGCCTTATTTCATTATCAATATTATTATCGTTTATATCACTTAATACATCTTCTTATTCCTAGCATTTTAACCAACATTTGACTTATTTAATCATACAATCCACATATCATCATATAAATCATATAATACCATTCATAGCACAAAAGCATACAAGTCACATGTAATATATTTGTTGTTATTTCTTTATTAGCCCATGTACACATGTGAGAACTATAGATATGTGAGTCTATAGAGGTTGTGCACTAATATTGTCACCACAACTCATATAAATGCACCGAAGTGCCACGTAGAATTGCACTGTAGTGCCGCGTAGAAATGCACCGAAGTGCCATATAAGGTTGTCCCTAAGGACCACATAGAAAATTCCTCAAGAATCATATACATATGCCAAGGATCAAGTATGTGTCTCAAAAGACCTCACACATGTTCCAAAGAATACATATATGTCCCGAAAGACCGCGTAGACCCTCGACTCTTGGCATGCCAACTATACCCTAGCTCTCATGACACATAACATGGGCATCATCATTTATGTCATTTCACATTTTCACATAAACACGTAGTTCAATTTCACATAGCACGTAGATTATGTCACATATGACGTAGCTCATATCCACTTTTCATACCTATTTCACGTTTCTTGTCACATTGCTTATATCTTATTTTTATGTCTTATCTCATATATATATATATATTCTCATGTTCATAGAATCCATCATTTCAACATCTAAATGTGTATTCATATAATTCATCTTCCTATATATATATATATATATATATATATATATATATATATATATATATATATATATATATTTATATACATCATTTTTCCTATACTTGTATTCACATCATTTATATTCTCATTCTCATAATCTCATATGTCCTGATTAATAACTTATATCATATATGTATAAAATAACTTATATCATATCATATAGCTTATACCTCATCCCATGATATTCACCTAGATGAAAAGATTAAGTAGATAAGCGTGAAGCTTCATCTTCATTGTCATCTTCTCCATACTAACAAAAAAGTTACGCAATGAGGAGACTGTTATAGACTTATAGTACATGAAAAACACAAAAGAAAGAAGAATAGATGGTCAGCAAATGTGAGTAACGTTCAAAAAAAGAAAGGAAAAGGACGAAATGAATGAAATTGAAATGCACGAGGTTGGTGTTCAAATGTAAATTTCCTATTAATCCTAGAAAATAATCTTTACGCTTGTAATGTATTGAACGTGCAATGACATTAAAAAATTAGAAACTTCAATGACCACAAATCAATCACATTACTTATAAAACCAATTGATCCGATCATTGTTGATTATTTCGAACACAGGGAAATGCATGGTAGAATTTGAATATTTCTTTAGTTTATCACTGTTGGTTATTAGTTTAGGTGATAATGCAAAGCATACAATTTTAACACATTCTGATAACAAGAAGCTATTACAGCATATAACATAATATAAATTCATAACAAAATTTCTAAAGCCATTGATGTCTACAAGAACACTATTGCTAGAACACATAATTGTATCTTTATCATAACAAAGTTCAAAATGGTTCTTTTTAAAACAAAACTTTTTGCCAAAATTTAAAATAAAACATTTTTGCCAAAATTTAAAATGAATCCCTCTCACACCCAACTTGTGGGAGCAGGGCCGTGACATCGACGGGAACACCTGGGATTTGTGCTGGAGCGGCTACAACATCCCACCCTTCAGCACCACCAACTGTAACTACATTCGAAATTTCAAAGTAGATTAAGCAAAGGAAACAATAAGTAAGACGTAAATTAAATGATATAATCAGAAATAGAAGTTATTACCTTGGTCACCCTAGTTAACAACAATAGGGACACCAGAAATGGGTGCCTGAACCATATCAGCAGACCATTGATCGCCTATTTGCGCAGGCCATTGATCGCCTATTTGCGCAGGCAATTGATCAGCTGCTAACCCACACATTCCAAAATCTGCTGGAGGGAGTCCATAATCAGGGGCCACAACAACCTCCTCCTCTTCTGCCTCTTTAGCTTCCTCAGATTCCCTGTAGAAAAATAGATACACCTACATACAAACCATGTATAAGTAACACAAATTAACACATTCAAATTGTATAGGAGATATCATGAAAGTGATATATCTTTTACCATCACATCCCACTTCTGTCCGGGAGAAATTGTGCCGCGCATCTAAAGAACAATCCTTGCCAACAGTCAGAAAAGGCAACCGATGTTGTGTTTTCCCTTGTTGTTAACAGGGATACCAATGTCAACATATCGCATCAGCGAGTCGGTATCACAAAAGGTAATGGTCAGAATGTTTCCAAGAGCTGCTTCCTTGATGGGCTGTAGAGAGCAGTTGGTTACAGAAAAGGCTTCTTAAATGGTTATTGATTTCTCGATAAGAAAGTTTAATTATGCAAATTGCTCTTCATTTAATGGTATTTATTCCATAGGTACAATTCATATAATTTTCTTATAATATTAGCACTCTCAGAGCTCTATCTAGAATATCATATACTTAATATGATTTCTTTCTCATTTTAGCACACGAAGTGCCCTATTCGAGAATCCATACCATTAGTATGATTCATTTACCATTTTTAGCACATGAAGTGCCCTATTCGAGAATCCATACCATTAGTATGATCCCTTTACCATTTTTAGCACATGAAATGCCCTATATGAAAATCCATACTATTAGTATGATATCCTTATACTTGTAGCACCCTTAGTGCTTTTTCTGGAAATTCATACACTCAATATGATTCCCTTACCATTTTAGCACATATAATGCCCTATCTGGAAATCCATATATTCAATATGATTTTCTTATCATTTTAGCACACTCAGTGCTCCATATGGAAATCCATACACTCAGTCTGATTTTCTTATCATTTTAGCACACGCAGTGCTCCATATGGAAATTCATACATTCAATATGACTTCCTTATAATTTTAGCACAGATAGTGTCATTTGGTAATCACTATACATACATTAATAAATCATGTTATTTTAACTATTACCATATGTACGTGCATAATTGGATGCACTCACCTGGTTCTCCTTGCTTATATATCCTAATTAGCAAAATGATTACTCTGAGACTTGGCCCTTGCCTTTCACCTTACTCGACTCGGGAGCTTGATTTCGATCTATCTCCCATTCATTGAGTACATGTATGTTACCAATTGTTAGTGTATTTACTAACCATTATAACTTAAACATTAATAAAAATATTTATTTTTAATCTTTCTACAATATTTTTGTCCCAACTTAACAATTCTGGCCCTTATGTATCGATGCACTCAATAGTGTATCGATGCACTGCCTATGAATCGATGCACTTAATGTATTCAATGTTTTTTAATTGAAGGGGTGCATCGATGCACTTTGCCCATAAATCTCATTTTAAGCACAAAATTTCATTCCTTTCAACTTCAATACTCCATGTTTCTTCCCCTTTCATGTTCTTAAGTCACATACACATGCTTAAACTCATTAATACTCATTTATCCCATCTTTAACTTCAAAATCCACTTCTCTACATAGAACTCAATATTCATACTCAAATTTTAACATATTCTAATCATCATACATGCTTGAATATGCATATACTACCTCACAAACATCAAGATTCATCATCAATTCCATGATACCTTATATGAACACAAACTATAGAATTTGAGGTCTTTGAACACTAGCAAGATTATCAAGCAATATTGGTACCAAATGATAGTGTTTTTCGTATACAACAATTTTCTATTTACATCATACTCAAAATCCTAAGGAAATTGCTTGAAAATTGAGTTTAAGCTTTCTTTCACCTTTGAAGAGAAAACCCACGTAGCTTTGGAGAAGAAGAGAGCAAATTTGGATGAAATGTTGGGTGCATTTCATCTTTGTTTAAACTATATTCCACTATAAATGAATATAATATTCATTTAATTGGGTTAAGACCAAATCACCCTTAATGAATCTTCTTAATCACCACAAAACCATGACAATTCATCCTTATCATATTTCAAAGTCAAAGATGAATTAATTTGACTTTAATTTCTGAAATTTCCCTTGAACTTTTCAAAAATTGCATTTTAGTCACTAAATTCCACAGTTTCGGTTAAATCTGAAAAATTGCTCATTTCCAAACAAATTTTCTCTGATCTAAAATATTAAAATAATATTTCCAAACATATTATACCATCCTTTAAATTTTTATAAAATTCCAATTCGATCTGAATTACCGATTCCTTATCGGTTTCTAGCATTTCTAATTTTATTTACTAAAATTACAAATCCAAAATATGATTTCTATAAAATCCCCACTCTTAAGAGTAAACTATCTATTTATGGAATAAAATTATTTTTGGGGAAAATCACCACTTAATTCCTAAAACTTTTCCCAATTTTCTACTTTGACTATCAAACTTTCAAATTTTTCATTTTGCTCATTATATAAATTTTTGGGGTATTACAATTGGATTTAAAACATGTTGAAAATTGGGTATGATTCTTGAAGTTCATAAAGATGAGAAGATTTTGAGGTTTAAGATGTGATAAATGAGTAGAAATTAGTTTAAGTATGTATATTTGAGTTAAGAATATGAAAGGGAATGAAATATAAAGAATTGAAGTTAGAAATAGTGAATTTTCGTAGTTGAATAGTGATTTATGGGCAAAAATTTACATATTACGCAGAGGGTACAGATACCCCTTGGGGGGTATCGATTCCCCCTAAAGAAAAAAAATGGAATTTTGGTTCATTAAACTAGCTTAAGTTATTAACATCAAGTTTAAGGTTTAGGCTTCTGATAATTGTTTTGAAAATTATATTTATGTAGTTATTGAGCCTAAACAAGTTCTGGAATAATCAAAGGATTAGGATCGAATCAAAGTAAGGCTAAAGTGAGTGCAATTTAATTGTACTTATGCTATCGAACAAACATTGGCTTGCGATGAGCCAGTGACGGAGTTACTATGGTAAGAAGTGACTCCTAAAATATTATTTGATTTGTGATTGATGAAATTCTTATATGTGCATGAATACATGAAAAGGAGTGTATGTGTTTATATAATTGATATGAATACATGATGTGTTAGGAAGATATAAACCATATGATATGATAAGAAATTATAAGAATACATGTATAGGTGACTATAAGAACATGTAATATAAGATATGTAAATCTAATATATGAAAATATATACCTATGTGACAAGCTATGTAGAATTGTGAGATAAGTTATAGGGCTTTGATATGCAGATTAGATGAAAGTATATACATGCTTACATGAACCCATGAGAAATAATATAAGTTATGTGATTACATGAACATGTGATACATGTTATATGAAATGACACAGATGTTTACACATACATATGGTATGTGATAGAAAAAAAGGTATATGTGATCACAAGAGAAATGACATGAGTACATGAACATATGAAACATAAGAATAATGCCCATGGTATATGATACGAGAGCTATAGGTATAGTTGGCATGCCAAGAGTCGAGGGTTTCATAGGTCATTCGGGATAACTCATAGGTCATTCGAGACAAATTCACAGGTCCTTAGGGATAATTTATATGCCACTCAATGGGACTTATACGAGTTGTGGTGACATCATAAGTGCACAACCTCAATGTGCTCGAATACCTTAAGTTCTCAGTAATTTACATGGGCCTATAAAAGATATCAAAAGTATTTATAAGATTTATATGTGATACTGTGTATATTCCTAAGTGAAATGTACTTGTTATATGAGCTTGGAAATCATTTAAGCACTAGTGTGATTTAGAGTTTATAGTATATGCTGACATGGTATAAAAAGAAATTAATGATGATAAACATGTTAATGATGTTATGTTACATGATATGTGTATGTATGTATATGTTACAGAGAAGAATATATGTTTTGGTATGATAAAGCAGTATCAAATGTTTATGCATTGTAGAAGTTACAGTTAGCATATAATTATGTTTTATATGCCTCACTAAGTCATCGACTTAGCTTGTGATTGTTTCACACGTAGGTTTGGAAAGCGAAAAGAGAAGTAAAGAGGAACAAGACAGGTCAATTCTCCTTACCGAAGATCAGATCAGAAATGTAGTTGAATTACATGTATTTTGTTACATAGAATTTAGTTGGCATGTAATATAAAAGATTTGAATCCGATATGCTTGATCAAGTTTTGTAATGTTTAAACATATTTTTTGTAAATGATAAATGTATAGAGATGAACGTTTTAAATTTTAAGAGTTTATATATGTTTTACGGAAGTATTGTAGCAGGGTATCGGTTCGGTTTCCCTATAACAATCTGGAAAATTTTAACATTCAGGTATTGTTCACGGTACTGTTCATTACTGTTCACAGTACTGTTCATATCGTATTTTACTGTTCATAAATACGTTTTTGCCTCAAAATTTTATAACAAACACAATTGAACAATATATGATCGTATTTTCTTAATATAAGTTCAAATGTTCTGTTATTGCAAGAATAAAGGTTTTGAAATGTCAATGTGAAATCTCGGACTCGTATCCGGGTTGGATACGGTTGGGCTGTTACATTTGATCCTACTAATGCTATTTTAAAATTATCCTTTACTGGCCTTCCTCTTCCCTATTTAGGAATAGTTGGTTGATTTACAACTTTACCATCAACTGTTGAAACTGTAGGTTCAGTAATAATGTGTTCCCCTCAGCAGCAGAATCATTAGGCTCTATAATAGCTTCGATACATCCTAATTCTTTATCTATATTAGCTTCATTATTATTTTGCTCCTCTATAACATTAGGAACATGTAACTCCGATTCCTGCAAGGCCCCAATGCCTCCAACAATTGGAGCCACTATATAAGCATTCGATTCTCCCTTCTTTTTCCAAACTGTATTATAACTGGAGCTAAATTTTTAACTCCAAGCATCCCTTCTCACTATGCCCAATGTAACACCCCCAACCCGTACCCGACCCGGATACGAGTCCGAGGTGTCACATTGACTTTTCAAACATTTTTCTTTTACAGAATAAATAAAAGTCAAATTCACAATTTAAAAAAATGATTACTTTTCATTTATTTAAAATCAATTGGTTTACAAAACATATCAGAGCTTATACAATTTATATCTTTAGACTACATGCCAACTACACCCTATATAACAAAATACATATGTTCAACTACACT